GATGGAACAGCCACTGATTAAGAAATCTGTACAGACGATATGCCTAATGTAGTTCATGCAGTGATTAACGCAATGGGTTTTCTTAAGAAATAAAGGAGAAAATATTCAGTGGATGTAAATATACGGACATAAAAACACCACAACAATTCGTAATGGCTAGTAGAGTTTAGTGTATTAGGGAATAACGTTTCCCATGCAGTATAGATAATTGTGTGTTAATGGAATAACCCAGTAGAGTATTTAATATACTCAAGGACTAATTAGTACCGTATGTAATGTATTCAAGGACTAATTAGTACCGTATGTAATGTATTCAAGGACTAATTAGTACCGTATGTAATGTACTCAAGGACTAATTAGTACCGTATGTAATGTATTCGAGGACTAATTAGTACCGTATGTAATGTATTCAAGGACTAATTAGTACCGTATGTAATGTATTCAAGGACTAATTAGTACAGTATGTACTATATTAAAGAACTAATAAGTACAGTTTATAATCTATTCAAGGACTAAATACATGTAGTACAGTGTGTAATATGCTAGGAATAATTAGTACAGTATGTAATATATTCAAGGATTTTCAAGGATGTACAGTATATAAAATACAAAAGAACTAATTAGTACAGTGTGTTATATACTCAACGCCTAATTAGAACAGTATGCAATATACCCAAGGACTAAAAAGTACATTATGTAATATATTTAAGGACTAATTAGTACATTGTGTTATATACTCAAGGACTAATAAGTACAGTATGTAATATATTAAAGAACTTATTAGTACAGTATGTCATATACTCATGAACTAATTAGTAGAGTATGCAATATACTCAAGGAATAATTACTACTGTATGTAATATATTCAAGGACTAATTAGTACTGTATGTAATATATTCAAGGACTAAGTACAGTATGAAATATATTCAGGGACAAATTGGTACAGTATGTAATATACTAGAGGAATAATTAGTACAGTATGCAATATACTCAAGGACTAATTAGTAGAGTATGAAATATACTAGAGGACCAATTAGTACAGTATGCAATATATTCAAGGAGTAATTAGTACAGTATGTAATATACTAGAGGACTACTTAGTACTGTATGTGATATTCTCAAAAACCTACTATTAGTATAGGATGCAAAATATTCAAGGACGTGTTAGTACAGTTTGCAATATATTCATTTCAATGAGTAATTAGTTCAATGTGTATTGCATTCAAGGAATAATAAGTAAAGTATGCAATATATTCAAGGACTATTAGTACAGTACATGATGTTTTCAAGGAATTACTAGTCTAGTATGTTATGTTATCAAGGAATAATATGCGACATATTCAAGGAATAACTTATATAGTACGCAGAAAGGTATTAGAATGTCTTTTTTATCAGGATAGCTAGTTTTGTACTTTAAAAATATACCAAGCCATGTCCTATAAAGGAAGATGTAGTCGTACCGAATGAGGAAAATTCAGTCTTACTGAATACCGAGTAGTTATAAAAGGAATACTAACTGTAAGTTTTTAAAGAGTCTGAACTATATAAAGGATACCCAACATGTTAAAAGAGATATAGCAATGACCAAATTATCTTCTTTAACCAAGGGTTTCTCATACGCTACTCTCGGTGTTAAAAGAAGTTTGGACTTTTTTTTTCTGAAGTTGTAATTTGAGTGGATCGACATCGATCGACCAATCAGCAATTTTTTTTGTTGTAAATGGCGATACCTGAGATCGGGATGATTCAGAATCTAAGCTGTAAATGTGCACTATAAATAACACATGAGAAAATCCATACCTTCTTGTTAATTATTCTTTAAAAATCTTCATGATTTAAATACATTTATTTCTGTTGATGACGTAATTTGTGCGTACCTGTTCTAATTCGTGATCACATGTCCCTTATATTTACAGTATCGTATGCCAAAGGTTATGATGAGATTAGCGTACCCGAAACCCTTGACTAGTGAAAATGTGACCAAATATGCAATTAAAACTTTACAAAAAAAAGGAATACCCATAAAGCCGTAAAGTGTGAAAACTAAACATTTCAGACCTTTTGTATATTTTGTTTTTGAAAACTTGTGGGTGCAGTTTCGGAAATTTGTTAAAGGGAAAGCAATAACTTAGCAAGCATATTAACCAAAAAAACAAAGGATCCCAGCAAGTCTAGGAATCGAAATGCATTGTTTCGTGGTTGGGCGCCTAATATTTCTTCTAGCAATTGGAAAATTAATATTTTTCACGGAAGGATACTTGAATTTGATGTAGTTTACCAATTTTGAAAATATCGTATGATTTTTGAAGACCTGAAGAATTCATATAAATTTAAATGGTTTTATATTGTGACGAGTACCTTGAATTTTTTTTCGAAGAACTGAAAGAAAACAAAGTCTGATTGAACGGAGAAGCCAGATGAATAAGAAGAAAGGAAAACAATGTTTTGTTCTGTTACGTAATTTACAGTCCATCGTGCTGGGTTTCATTATTAGTAAACAGATGAGGCATCGTTCACCATATTAAATAAATCATAAGAAATAAGCGGCCATCCATTAACACAATGGCTTCCAGATCTATAAATCTCAGATTGCTGCAGAAGGATAGGCTTAAAGCACAATTTGCAACATATTGATGACATCAGCAGTTTGACAAACCGAAGTTTATATAGGATAATTAGTGAATCATTGACAAATCCGCCAGCTGACTTAGAGGGCACCCCTCCTCCACTGTCCGTCTGCCAGTTGTTTTTTGTCCAGCTTTCAGCTTGCTAATTACAAGTAACTTTCAATTGGATAAACTATGACCTTAATATTCATATGTTTATTTCTGTTCGACCTTTTTGGGGTTACGAATACATTAAACCTCTTGGTTAGTACTTTGTAGTTTGACTTACTTTTGCAAAAATCAAATTTTAACGTTAATCATGACTACTTTTGTATTGTTGGTGTTAGTGCTTAATTGTGAAAAGAGTTTTCATTGGTCTCAATTTCTTAAAATCATTTACCTTAACCTTAGAGTTTGGCCCATTTAAATAAACTTTACTTGGTACTTTGGCATTAACTTTTAAACAGTTGGCGCTTAATATTTTTTTCACAGGTATATTTCTTGTGTCAAGGCCTTTCCCGGGGTATCACCGATTTTGACCTTAAATCTTTGAGAATAACAAACGGGAAAAAAACTTTTGCAAAGACCATACATTTTAAACGTATGGTTTTACACAATGTCATTAAGAAAAATATCCAATTTTAGAGAACGTTTTCTATCACATTGCCAACCATAGCCTTTGCATATTTCAAACCATAATTTTCGCCAAAGGCAGCAATACGGGGACATCTGGAAAGCTGTGTATGCTCTACTTAATATTTACATGTAAATAGTTTGCAGGGACTTTTGAATGTGATAATTGTTTGTTATTTCACATTTCGTGTCTTAGTCAATAGTACGCATGATTCTAAGTAACATTATAAACCACTTTGAAGTGTATGTAACAAGTCTTATTCTGTTTTTTTTAGTTGGAAAATCTGAATATGAAATTTGAGCAAATGAAATATCAGTCTGAATATGTACGCCTTTTCGAAAGCAATAAAGTAAGACTACACTAAAACTTCTTACAGACTGCTGGCATTTCCATCTCGTGTCAAATTTCAATGAGGTTCATTGGAGGCTTATTGGTTTTTTCATATATCGTGCAAATTTATTTCGCTTCAATGGAATCTGCCTTCTGTTGATAAATCTATGATTTTTTGGCACAAAAAGTTTTGATAAGCTTGAGATAAATATGACTAGAAAATTAAATTGAGATTAAAAATTGGTTATATGTAATTGCTAGTTACCTTGTTAAACGATTTAATTTTAATTATTAAAACATTCAATAACAACGTCTTATTATACCTCCCGCTTGAAAAGCGGGAGGGCATATAGCAATCGGTATGTCCGTCTGTCCGTCCGTCTGTCTGTTACGCTTTGGGGTACCGATCTCTTATCCGCACTCCTTTCATACCGCTGAATGGAATTTGATGAAACTTTCACATAATCTTTATTACATATTGCCATTGTGCACCTCCTATTTAACTATTTGTTCCAACACATATTTTGGGTTTACCATAGCAAAACATAGACGCTGCCATTTTATACATATGGAAGGCGGTGGTATCATTAAGTGAGCTCATTGTTCACAGTACCTCTACTTGAATTTCAAGTTTTGTAAGAGTATTTACATGCCTAAAGCTCAACGAGATAGTTAAATAAAAGCAGGAGATAACGACACTGTCAATCAAATTTTATTAATTAATTTATTTTAAAGTTTACTACAACATGCCATAAAACGAAAATAACAAACGCAAAGGTTTAATTGTAAATTGAGAAGATGAAACACATGATAGCTAATTGGTACAGTTAGCCAACATTTTATTTTTAGTTTTTGTAGTCAGATCAATTAACAAATATTTCAAGTACAGTGTTGCAATTTAAAGAACTGCAAAGCATTTGAGCTGTTTGTCTCTCTTTAAATTACGTGTTATTTGATTGGAAGATAACGGACTTAATGCAAGATTTAATCGTTAAGATAAAACAAGCTTTAGGTAATACAATTGTTTTATAAACATGTTGATAATTTGTACGCAGACACCAAATTCTCGTCCTCTGTTTTGTACGGAACGAAACACAAATAAGTAATGGGATGTTAAAAATCAAATAAACGATTTGATGGAAAAGTATTATCATTTGGTAGAATAAGTGTACAAAAATGATTTTTTTTAAAATATGTAATAAATCTTGCCCATATGCGTAATACAAATATAACAAATACAATCATGAAAAACCTGAACCCTATATTAATGGAAGCATTGAATTGTCAGTTTATATTGACCAAAAGCGCAACGTTTGTATGCATCATAGTCTACCATCAGAGAGAATAAGAGAAGATTCTGCCTGTCTCTGATATTCCCCCATTCAATACATTAAATAAGTTTTAATGCCATTCCCTATGATTAGACTTACCCGACATGAGGAATGTCTCCGCGCCTTACGTCGGTGGACAGGTGCCTAGCATTACCGTCATCTGAGTGCATTGATCTATGCTACCTGTGAATCTACAGGTGTTTTACACGGTAACTCCCCCGGTACGTGTCCGTCAATTACACAGTCGTGCTTAACTATAATAATCGCAGTTTTCCGTCATTATACCTTACAAACCGATCCTAACTTCCGTGTTATGACAATAATACTTACTTCCTTCTGCTGACTTCAGCAATTGATTCTTAATGATACAACGGGAAACTCTTGTAACAAATATTATTGGAAGAAAATACAATCCTCATGGCCAATTTAAATAAATTTTATTGGATTTAATCTATTCCCTGAATAAACTCAAAAACATCTACATATTATGAAAAGATATATACATTTGAAATTTTGAATTTTCTAGATAGTGGATATTCCAAGATAAAAACTTCTTTGGGTATTTCATTATATATTCAACAACACAACCGGTTCACAAATGGTTTCCGCCAATTTCCACCACAAAAGGTTCTTTTAAAATTTGCATAAAAAACCTTAGACTCTTTTTCTCGACGAAAAGAATGTTGATCAAACTTCAATTCAAAACCTTATTATTTTATAATGTTAAATAACAAAAAGAATTTTAAAAAAAACTTTCTCTGCTTGCTGTGGTCTGTATGCTTCAAATTGTGTTGGACAGAAACAAAAAATAGTCACAAACGTAGGAAAATGATGTAAATAGAATATTTTAGATTTTTGGTTCATTAATCATAATACGTGTATATAAGTAGGAGGGAATTTTATCCGTTGGGTGTCTTGTTCGAGGTGGGCGGATAGAGATCTGGTTCGTCTAATGTTAACAAGGTGAACAAAATCTATTATTGAAAAGAATCCACTGAGTTTCTCCTGTGAAGCTTCTGATTAGGTTAAAAGAAGATCGCTCGTTAGGTTCCCATATAGCTTCTGTAAAATTGTTATATCTAGGGAAATCAGGGACTTCCTGGAATCACAACTCTCATGTTGTCGGTTAAATATCAACACAGGAACATAAAAAATCTGAAATATGTCTACCATTATAGGATTATACAATATCAATATGAACTGTACGAAATTTATAGTCTACATGAATTCCCAGATTGGGATTTGACCTAATCTGAAAATATATGGAAAACTGAACGACCTACCATTTAACTCGCCATCTACGTACAGTGTAGACCAACAAAACACTATGAATTCTGTCTTAATCATTAAGGGTCTCACGAGCGTACGTATAACAAGCCTGGCTTTAGCCTTGGGTGAAATCAATATAACATGTATCATTAATAAAAGAGGTTAGAAACTGTGATTTTTTCGTCAAATATTGAACAGTTTAAACAGTTTTTTAAACGTGGACATGAAACCTGATCTTCTTTAAATTCAACAATTGTTATTTAAACATTTTTTTAAAGGAACTGCCAGTAGCTCCTTGATTGTTAATCTCAATGAGTTACATACCTGCAGCTACATGTAATATTTAGAATCCTATAGGAGACTTTTTATTTGGAATATGTTCTCATTTTTTTTTCAAACTCATGATAAGTAAAATAATTCATTTGATATCGATAGTTTCGAAATACAAAATTTTATACCAGATAAAGGCCAAGATACGATAACGTCAATGTGAAGTTTAAACGACAGTTAATATTTAAAGTGAATGAAGGGTATGGAGATAAAGAAAAGTTTTCAAGTTCAAAATCTCATTCAAATTAAACAAATGAGGAGCAGAGAAAACACGGACCTGTAAAACATTAGAGATCAGGGATCAGGTGCCAAGAATGAGCGAGTATCCCCTGCTGATTAGTTGCAACTTCCTTATATTCATTGTCATAATCGGGAAATACTGAACAAAATTCGTCAAAATATAGTATTTTAATGATGGTCCAACAATAAGCATGAAAGACTTCAGCTAGCTTTTGACTTAATGATAGATTGTATTTGCTGACAAAGATCTATTACTGGCCATAACAGTTACTAAATCTTGATTAACCTAGACTGTTGATATACTTATTTCATCTATCCCACCGACATATGGCTGAAATATTGCCCACTCGGAGTAAAAAAACAATAATCAGTCCATCTTTTTTCAGTGAAATATCCAAATATGAAACAGTTTTTGTTACACTCTGTGCTATCTTTCATTTCAAACTCACTGTGATATATCGCGTCGAGACATGAGGGGTTGTCTTCCAACAATGTCCGAATTTCCAAGTGCCCTTTATGCATGGTATTCACATAAAGCTTTTTTTTTCAAAGTCTTTTACTTGTGAATTAGAAAATACTAACCGTGTCCATAAACTCGACATTTAGATCTATCGATATATTATCAGTTAAGGAGGTTCATTATAAATCGACTCTAATTAATGTTCAATTTTTCAATTGTCAACTTCCTTCTACTATGTAGCAATAAACAGTAATTATCTGCAAATGTTGTTTATGTCTCTCACTTTGAAGGATACGAGAAGAGCATCCCTTTCTGTGTATGAAAAGTTTATAGAAAGAGGTAACCTATTACCAAACAAGCAAATCAACAGTCTCGTTTAAAGTGACTATGTATTTCTCAAACTCTGTGGTCGATACGATGACTTGGCATCCAATACAAACTTTATTATTTACAATCATTATGCCAGTTGCCGACTAACAATATCCATACTAATTATTTTTATTCCAAACACGTAGCATACGGCGGGTCCTCCGGGGATGCTTACACCTACATTGCACCTAATCTCATCTCTAGTATGTGTTGTTTCAGTCTAATTGAATGACTGCGTTCTTTTCAAAGTACAAGTAAGATGTATTAAAAATACTACAGAAAACATTCATACATTTTCAAAAGACCACTTTTCATATATACTTATTAAACAAATTTTAAAAGGCTTTGTTTTCTTTAAAAAAATCATTCCAAGGTTTGTGTATGTAATATAAAATTTTAAAATGTTTATAATTTAAGCATCTTCAGCAGTAATAAACTTATTTTCTTGAATTTACTTTTATTTTGAAAGTTAATTATCTAAAAAAAAAATTGAATATAAACATCTTTCTTCAAATGACAACAACTAAAATCCCATGTTTAAGACATTGTTGAATGACAGAACCTAACGGCAAAAACCAATCTTCTTTGAAATGTAAATAAAGCAAAACAATCTCAAATTAAATCATTTCCGAGGTTTTTACAACTAAGCATGTTTAAATTAATAACTCTAACAGTGGTTGAAGCGTCTGCTCAAAAATCGCCGAGTGAGGAGTAAACCCTGAAGTTGTTGCGAGTTTTTACCCCACAGAGGGACGTGGAGATCGGTCCTTTGGATGAGACCGTGTAAACCTTGGTCCCGCGTCGCAGTAGTTGTGAGGACGATAAGACTGCTGAATGCCCCTGAATGCCGAGTTTAGGACGAAATTTGCAGTTTTTCCACCTGCAAACGGTGACTTTTTTTTATGAGTGAAATTTCTCGAGGAAGACATAAAACAACAAACAAAATAATTCTACCAATTTGCACTTCACAGGAAGTCACGGTGTTTACGTTTGTCAAGAAACATTTGAAACCTTATGACAGGTATTTCTTTATAATAGATAAGTATAAAAATAGATAGATTTGCCAGACTTTAACCTGAGGCAGCAATATAACAAAACCCATTATAAGCAGCTGTCTAATTTATATCTGTCTTATTGTAAAGATTGCACTAATGAAGGATGGTTATTTGATTTTCAAAGACAAAAAAAAAATTCCCAATGAAATTGCAATTGCATCATACTTTCGAAAACCAGATTTTTTGTACTTTGTGAACTATGAAAAAAGTAATGAAATCTAGTAAAGAAGAAGAGGAATCAAGATTAGGGCACGACACGTACACGTGAAAACAACTGATGAGATCAGAAACCCTAGAGTGTAAGCAGTTCCGGTCAAATGGTCAGAACCGCTGTGAGTCTGAAGTATTGATTGCGTTGACGGAGAACTAAGTAGTCAACATAAGTGCATAGAAATGCATTTGATTGAAGAATTAGATTAAAATTCTGGTGAAAAAATACTTCTGTCCTTGTGAAAAGAATTATATCTGCTACCGAGAGATAGAGAATTATATCTGTTACCGGGAGATAGGGGTCGTCTTAAATTTAGAACTTAATTTTGATGTCTAAACGAATACCAAGTTTGATATCAGTCTATTACTTATCCTGGTATGAGAGAAGATATCTAGGAATATTTGTTTTACGCTATAGACTAGAGGAATATCATTCACAACAAAAACTCTACCAATGCTGAATTCATGTGCAATGGATATCACTTCAATTCGTTGGGTCAATGTTTGTAAGCAAGCAAAATTGTAGTTTTCTGTGAGAACACTATTTAGTAGGTTATTCATTTTTAGGGTAGATTTAATGATTCGTTATGTTTTAAAAGGAAGCTTTTGAGGGTAGGGATGACCGGTGAAATCCACGAACATTGGTATTTTGCGATCAATAATGATTTCACTGTTGATCTTTATATTTGAAGAAAAGGGCTAAAGATAACGAACAAAGATTAAAAGCACCAAAATCAACAGCTTAAAAACTTACAATTATTCAACTTTATACACAACCATTCCCCACGATAAATTAAGGTACAGGTTCTTTTACCTCACCTGAGCCGAAGGCTCAAGTGAGCTTTTCTGATCACATTTTGTCCGTCGTCCGTCCGTCTCTTTGTCTGTCTGCCTGTCTGCCTGTAAACTTTTCACATTTTCGAACTACTTGGCCAGAAAAGCTAAAACTTATGCGGAAGCATCCTGATGTAATGTAGATTCTAAATTTTTAAATCATGGCCCCTAGGGGTTTGGAGAGGCCACAATAGGGAATAAAATATTTACATAGAAATATACAGGAAAAATATTTTAAGATCTACTTCTCAAGACCCACTGAGCCAGAAACGCTGAAAGTTATGTGGAAGTATCCTTGGGTAGTGTAGATTCTATATTGTTCAAATCATGGCCTCTTGGGGTTGGATGGGGCCATAGTAGGGAATCAAATTTTTACATAGAAATATATAGGAAAAAAACTTTAAATTCTCCTTCTCAAGAACCACTGGGCCAGAATGGTTGAAATTTATGTGGAAGAATCCTGGTATAGTGTAGATTTTAAATTGTCCAAATTATGACCTGTAGGATACAATGGTTCAATAGGTCACAAGGGAAAAAGC